GATAGATAGATAGATAGATAGATAGATAGATAGATGGATGGATGGATGGATGGATGGATGGATGGGTGGGTGGGTGGGTGGATGGATGGATGGATAGATGATGGATGGATGGGTGGGTGGGTGGATGGATGGATGATAGATAGATAGATAGATAGATGTTTTTTAATGTTTTTTTGTCTTAATTTCTTTAGATATTGCAATAATATAGCTACCATTAATTATTTTGGCCAAATAACGAAATGTTTAGTGAAAATATCATGACGGCTAGTTCTTGTTTGAAAGAAAATGAATTTTCTCAACAACAACAACAACAACAAAAAATTACTGTGAACGCATTGTTCCAGTCTTGTTGTACAAATGTATAGCATTGCTGTATTCAAATTTTTTGTTCATATTTTGTTTAAATTAAATCGTGCGGTTTCTGTTAGAGCTTTGTCATTCCCAATCAGTTAATCAATCAGTCTGTCCGACACTGAATCAAATCTACATCTGCATCCCGAAGGTCACTTGGATCAATGGTCAAATGAATTAAATTATTTTTTGCTTATTTTAACTAAACTGGCCAAGTAGAAAACAAAACCTGGATGTGACACTGTGCCAACCCTTACAGAAACAAAATCCTGTCTTTTGTGGAAATAAACTGTCTATTCTAAAATGAAAAAGATGAAAACGTGATAGGAAGAAAGACAAATAAAGGGAGCTGGAAGGAGAAACTCACAGTTCAGTTGTATCTTTAGGGATACCCTTAGGCAGCGAACGCAGCCCGCGGTTACTACAGCGCACCACCGCGTCTGAGCATGTGCAGGAATCGGGACAGCGAGGGGCCGACGGCAGACAGACATTCTCTTCCGCACCTGAGAGAGAAACACATGCATATTTTATGCTCCTTTACATCATGCAAGAGAAAAATGTAATATGTGTTGCTAACAGATCTAATATAGAAACTCATCAATTCTTTAAAAGGAAGTAATGGAGGACAGAGAAAAAGAGAGAGATAACGGAAGAAAGAGCACAGGTGCTGCGTGCACCGAATTGCATTGAAAATAGCCCATTCTCCAAACACGGGTATCAATATTACAGCGCACGCTTGCGAACTGATACAGTGCACAGGAGTTTAAAATCAGCAGCTAAATATTGCTTTTGGCCTTGCTCGCTCCACATTTCCTGCAAGCAATACTTGTAGCCTCCTCCCGAGCTGCTTTCATCCAAGCTCTGTATGACGCTATCTGTAAAAGGCTGAATTACCCTGCAGATTAAAAAGAAACAGCGAATTAAGCCATTAATGGGAGGTAATGGAGACTGAGATATGCTCCAACAATAACACGCAGACCGAGTCTGGAAGGAGAACGCCGGATCTGGACGTGCCTGCAAACGCAGAAAAGCCAAAGGGGCTGTGGGCTAGTTTTACAATGACTGGACTCCATCAAACGACCAAAAATATCTTCCCGTAAATCAATTTAGCTTGACTTTGTTACTCTAACTGTAATTGCAGAGCACCGAAATAGCTGGATGTTGTGGTGGTGAGTTGTTTGGAGCCGAAACGAACAGAATAACAACACATGAGCCCTGACAGACAGCTTCTTCTAACTAATGGACCTCGAGCCAGGGCGATTTCTCTCACTTTCAACCTCTTTATTTCAAAGTGCTTCGACCGTCTACAGCTGAGCAGCTCTCTTAACACGATATTCCCCGAACCAGCAAAAGAGCTGTTTCTACCCAAAACACCCCGGGCTTTGACAGGGAGGTCTTCTGAAACACAGGACCCCGGCCAGACAGAAGCCAAACCGCACTTTCTTTTTCTCCGTTAAACTTTGTCAGTCTCGAGAGGTTCTGTTTTCCCGCTGTCTTTATGGACACCAGTTCTTCCCTAAAAACCAGATAATGCTGAGGCCTCCACGCTTAGCGTTGAATTTGTCCTTTTGCTGCCCTCTCAGTACGGCCTTGTGGGAAGCTGGCCGGGTGTGATTTACCCTGACGCTGGGAAGCAGGGAGAGGGGGATGAAGGTGTGGGAAATCCGAGGAGAAGGAGTGGAGAGAAAGCCTCGGTCTGGAAGGAGGCGATGCAGCGGCCTGAACTAAGCAGCGTGATTTCATGGGAACTGGAGATGGATGTGGTGTGGATGGCACAGGTTACAAGGCAAATACTAGCTGAGGTCTGCAAACCCTTGTTCAGCGTCCTGACAGTGCGCCTCTGGTTCATGAGGAACTGCTTAAAAAAGTGTATATAAACAGGCCAGTGTGGACATAAAGGAGTTGAAGAGTATGAAAGAGAATTAACATTGTATGGAGACATGGAAGTATAGACTGGTATATTTGCATTTACTGTCTATCTATCTATCTATCTATCTATCTATCTATCTATCTATCTATCTATCTATCTATCTATCTATCTATCTATCTATCTATCCTTCTATATATACAGTATATAGATAAACGTAAAAAGTATATATATATATATATATATATATATATACAGTTCTTGTTGCATGAACGATGTTCAAAGTTGTTGTGAAAGAGGTGATAAACCTGTATATACGTACAATATAACATTTACAGGATAATTAACGCCATATATACAATGTGTAAATATATACTGTATATAAATATGGCCCTAAATTATTTTATCATTATTATTTTATAAATTAATTATTTACAAAATTGTATAGATGGAGACATGGGAGTATAGAAAATGGCATAAAAAAATTATATATATATATATATATACTGTATATATATATATATGTGAATGTATATATTTAAAACGGTAAATGTACAATATAACAGTTAAAGGGTAACTCCATTTATACAGAGTGTAAATATTTATATATATATATATGTCCCTAATTTATTTTTTATTATTTTTATTATTATTAATAACAATAGTCACTATAACGCCTAATAATATATTAATGAAATTCATTTACTTTTTATTTTATTTATTCTTTATTTATTATATTTTTATTTGATAGTAATATACAGTTTAATGCCCAGTAAGCAATATTTATGATAATTATATCATAAACATAATATAATTTTATTATATATCATCACATTTTTATAATAAAAGTATATCATATAAACTATTAATGACAATAAATCACTCACCAACCATTGGCTTTTGTGGTAAAAGTTAATTTTGAAACCCGGTTACAGTGATTGCACCAAAGTTAAGGTGGTCAGGCTAACAAGGTGCTTGTTCCTTTACTGTGGTAAAACCACTGTGATGCACGACTGATTTATTTCTCAAAATGCATTCTTTGATACAGGCACTTGCTGAGTTACTGATCCATCAACAGGGCAAGCAGCAGATATTGTGCAAGTGGCCAAAATTGAGTTATACCGTCACAGGAGAAATCAGGCATGGCTACATCTTGTATGGGGATCTCCTTCAGGAAGGCAGGTTTCTGGCAGCGTGGGTTGCCACTAACCACCCTGGTCTTCTTAAGCCACAGTCCCAGCCAGGCTAAGTGACAGTCACACACGTAGGGATTAGACAGCAGGTTACTGTACACAAACAGAAAGAAAACACAAACCCCATTACTATATAATTACAACGGAAAGCAATCAGCAGGGTTAAATTACCACATAAACGATTCAACTCCAGCCCATTTAACCCAGCAGGAGAAATGAATTTGCATTTAAATAGCAATACAATTACATATTGTGACTGCGATGCGACCTGCAATGCTGACAGCGTTTGATAGCAACTTTTGCTGTGTTATTACATTGTTATAAAACAGCCACAGCACACGTAAGCTGCTTTAAAAACTAATACGAGGTCCATAGAGCTCATCTTTTTAAGACTTAACTATCAAAAATATATCCTAACGTTCCCGACATATGTGAAAAATGCCTCAGCCATATGTTTGCATGAATTTTTGGAACTCTTTCTTAAAATTGTCTCCGAAGTTCTTAAAATCAAATAAGACATTTACCCTTTAATTGCCATTTTTGGTGTTCCATCTCAGTGTTATCCTCTGAACCATAAACAAGGTAGTGCCGCGGCATTTGCATCATTGCTTGCTCGGCGCAGAATACTGTTATCTTGGACCTCCTCCCTCTTTAAGTGTGGCTTAAAGATTTAATCTTCTTTTAAAACTTGAAAAAGTCAAGTTTAATATCAGAGACGGGGGGGAATGCTATTTTGAAAAATGGCAACAATTTATTACTTACTTTAATGATATACGTATTCTGGAGGTAGATTGAGGGGAGGTATAATTCTTTTTCTCCTTTACTACTTTGAGGAGTAGTTTTGTGTTATTATTATTATTATTATTATTATATTTTAATTTATTATTTTTTCTTTTCTTTTCTCTTTTATTTATTTATTTATTTATTATGTAGTTGAACCTTTTTCATATGTCATTCTGTTTTAGTTTTGGATCATTGGGTTGGGTAGGATGTGAACGTTATAAAATGTAAAAGTGCAATTTTGCAATAAAAATTCTATGACAAAAAAAACCAAACTAAAACGAGGGCTCACGAATAAGACACAGACACATTTTCATCACGTTTGGGTAGAGAACGATCCATCAACCAATGGCTACAGGGACCGCTGGGGTAGAGGCTTCAGAATCAACTTATTGGCCCATTTTTCATGCGTCCTCACCGAGTTCTGAAAGTTCAGGTGGTGGCACACAGACCTAAATCAAAAAATTGTAGCCTTGAGTTAAAAGCGTCACCAGCAATGACTGTAGAAGGCCCACCAGGGAGCCGGCTGACGGCCCACTCAGACGGGATGCATTACTGAAACCCACAGCAGCGCTAGTACAGGCACAGAGGAACTCTTTCATAGAGTATCTGCTGTGCTACAGCCTGCGGGATAAATTAATCGAGTGTGCTGACCTTCCGCTGCTTCGCCAATAGATGCTTCGCAGCTTAAGGGGATGTGCTCATGTTAACACTACCCTGCAATGTGTTTGCCTTTAATTATTCCTACATCGCTTTCTGTACACACTTCAAAATCAAAGAAACCCCGACTGAGAGAGAACAAGCCAGGCAGACGTTTCCTTTGAGAATGATATTGCACACTAGACATGAGAGAATATTTATGCTGCTAAATTTAATAAATGGGACATAACTGACAAAACACGTGGCTATTTTTACTGTGATAATCACAAATGCGAGCACTTAAAAGTAACCTCTGTCCTGACTGCTCACTCCAAACTCTCCTACCGGAAACACACTCCCGCTCCGCTCTAATTTGGGCAGAGGTGGAGGGATGAATGATGGAGTGAGAGAGAAACAGGAGGGAAGTATGCCCAACATGCCTGCTATACTACTGTGGGAAGAGAATAGCCGGGGAGGCCTTGCTCTCTCTCTCTCTCTCTCTCTCTCTCTCTCTGGATATTTTTAGCTGCCCTATGCTGAGATGGACATGGCTGTGTCAGCCGCTGGGTAATTAGAGAGCTGGCAAAAAAGAGAGAGAATGAAAAGAACGAGTCTGAAAGAAAAAGCACAACAGATTGATTGGAAAAGTTGGCTTATGGCATAAGAAGGAAAAAATAATTGAATGTGTTTTGCAGATTCCATACAATATATTTAATATACAATATATGTTCTTAATGTTTACTTAGCTGAAAAGAAGTATATCATACATTCTACATGGAGGTCTCAACTGTATTTAAAAAAAAAAAAAAACCTTGTTCAATCCATGACCTAGTGGGAAGTGCATTTATTTATTTATTATACATAAATTATATATAAAGAAAGAATATTTAGAAAAAAATAGGGTATTTAAAGTTAAAAAACTGAATATAGAAGATAATATTTAAGAATAATTTATTCTATTAGAGAAAATAATATTTAAAAATAAAATTTTTAAAATGTAAACATTTACAAAATATATGTTTATATAAACAATATATATATATATATATGCTTAGCATTTTTTGCTCATATATATATATATATATATATATGCAGTATATATACATATATACTGTATATACACACACACACATACAAAAATAGTTACATTAACTTATGAAATTAATAATATAATATAATATTTTAAAATAATTGGATTGATTAATTTATGAAATTATAAAAATAATAAAAAAGTGAATATAGAAGAGAATATTTAAGAATATTTTAGAATACAATATTTTATTTAAATAAAAAATAAATATGTATGTTTTTATTAAGAATGGAAGAGCAACACAAACAAAACAAATATAAAACAAAGCACAGCAAAGTAAAGCCAAGCAAAGCAAACATGACAAAACAAAGCAAAAAAAAAAAAAAAAAAGACAACACAAAAAACCAAGTAAAACACAACAAAACAAAAATAAAAATAACATAAGCCGTCCTATCGTGCTAAGCTAGAAAAAGGTTGTCAAGGAAGTTTATGCCTGGTTTATGCCTTGATAAAAAAAGGAAAATATATGTTACTGATTAGATGACCTCATTGTGTAAATTATTCCAGTTGTTTATGCATGCTAAACTTGATTAGATGGTCAGAATGGAAGGAATGACATCCCATGCAAACCAGAACAATCTGAGAGTCTCTCTGCTCAGAATCTGCTCACATATTTCGGCTAGTAGAGCGCTTTCACCGAATGAAAAAGAGAACCATGTGTATTGCTGCACGTTGAGATGTGTGCCAGGAATACAGCCTGATATGATAATTCAAATGGTTACAGAGGCTCGCTGTGTTGGCAGTCATCATTTCCATTTTTTTTCTAAATTATGATTCCACCAAAAGTTATTTTGAATGCTTAGCATCTGTTTATCTATGAACATCTGTGAGATCTCTTTCAGTTTTCTCCGTTGATCTTTCTCTTTCTTGTCATTCCCTCAGGGCTGTGACACACTAGAGTTCATTTGTTTGTTGATCAGTTCTTTGTTTACCTCCCCCACAAAAAGCTATGCAGATATTAATCTGCATTAAAAATGCGCCACACATCATTTTCTCCAGCTGTTCCCCATTTTTTTTTACAGCATACAATCAAAAGCAAAAACGAAATGGCAGAAGAATGAATTCAGTACATCTGCCTTTGTATGGACATCATCATCGACAAAATTTTGAGTCCATTTTCAGACAGCAGAGCAATTTTCCCTTTTAGCCATTTTTTAATAATTCACCCTGCCCCACGGGGCAAGCCAACATTTTCTCATCTGAGGTTCAAGAACAACCAAGACAAGAAAACATAACCTCATAATTTAGAAAAAACATCTGCAAACAATAAGAATTCTTTGCTCGAACCACATCCTCATCCGCTTTGCATATGAAGATATAATAGGCGCTTGATTGGTGGTGGTGCGTGACCCGATAGACTGTGTTTGACTTCCTGCGTCTTTGCAAATTTTTCAACTAACTAATTTGTGGGTTTGGTACAGAGACAGGAACTTCAACAAATAGTTTTATTAGGCACCAGAGATAGTTGTGCTTTAAAATGCCTAATTCTTTCAATTTTTTATTTTGTTTTGCACTAAAGAATTCCAGTTGATTATGGATGCATAACTGATCGTGTGAACCCATGACACAGAGGGTAATGTGTGTGTGTGTGAGAGGGTGGAGGACTCACATGGTGGAGAGGGAATGCAGGGTGTTGAAAGCTCCCGGGGCGATAGTGGAGATCCGGTTGTCGTAGAGGGAAAGCAGGCGAACGGAGCTCAGGCCGGTGAAGGTGGCGTTATCCACACAGCTGATCTGATTGCTCCTCAGCGTCCTGACGGGAACACAGAGGCAGGTGGGATTACATTGCGTCTGACAGACAGAGGCATGCAGCTCACGAAGAGGGAGGATCGGAGAGTTTATGAGACTCTGTAATGCATTCAGTCAGTGGCTAGTGGTACTATGGTACGACTGCTAACACCTCACTTCAGAAACATTATTTTGTGAATGTGGCATACATGCAGTGGGTGGGTAAACACACAAACTGGTGTAAGGGAGGAAAGTAGGCGCATATCGAGACAGGAGTCTGGAGTGATTTGATGGATGTGAAATAATTTACAGGAAGGAAATCTGATGGGGCTTCAGCAGACGGCACTTACTGTGTAACAGACCATTCAAATGAAACATTGCTAACTGGCAATGTCATTAACCTTTATTTAACCCAGCAAGTCAGTTAAATAGAGTATATATATATATATATATA